CGCCCCTGCTATTTACCTGGATCTCCTTAATAAGACCCAAAGAAGAATCAGCAATATTATTGGTCCTGATCTGGCATCTCGGCTTCAGTCACTTGTCCACCGTCGTAAGGTTACTTCTCTGTACCTTTTTTATAAGTACTTTCCAATCAGTTTCTTGATGTTGACGAAATTCATCAAGGAAGATGACTAAATTTTAAGTGAGGCAACTAAAAAACAGCAAAAACAAAATGTAAAAATTAAATTGAATAAGTTATTTAATACTGTATTTAAAATTGTCTTTTTTTTCTATTACTTTAGTAGTAGCATTATTTAAAATACTTATGAGGCCCAGACACAAATAAGCAACCATTTAGAACTTTAGTACTGATCCCTGGGCAAAAAATTTGCCACTTGAATCCTGGTCAAAAAACAAAGTTGCTTATTTATAAAAGAAAAAAAAATTGTACTTCAGAAAGCCAAATTTTGCACCAGTTATTTAGCTGGCGGGTGGGGGGGGGGTGAGGCATGTACCAGTTGATTTATTTATCATTGGTACAACGTTATAAATTACTAAAAATCCGGCGATAAAGCCCGAAAGTGCGTCTTCTGGAACTCTCAGAACGCAATGAACGTTGAAATTTTTCTATGTCATTATAAAAACTATCACAGTCACATACTTTCGAGGAATTTTACAGGAAGCTTCTTATTTTAGGAGAAACATTTCGTTAAAAAAAAAAAACCCCAAAAAAACGTTGGATTGTTATTCTTGGGAAATTAAAATTTAAAAAAAAAAATGAAAAGAAAGAAATTCGTAGGCTTAATTTACTCGGAGAGTCAGTCAATGTGAAATGAACATTTTGTTTTGATTGATGGTATTCAGGTTTTATTTGTTTAATCTCCTAACGTCTTCTTTAAATGATGATTTATAGCTGTGGCAACGGCGACTTCTTCTTCGTCGTCTTTTTCTTCTTCTTCGTCGCCTTTTTTTCTTTTTCGTTGTCTTTTTCTTATTCTTTTTCGCTGCCTTTTTTACTTCTTCATTGTCTCTTCTTCGTCGTCATCGTCTTTTTCTCCTTCCTCTTCTTCGTCGTCATCTTTTTCTTTTTCGTCGTCTTTTTCTTCTTCTTAGTCATCGTCTTTTTCTCCTTCCTCTACTTCGTCGTCGTCTTTTTCTCCTTCCTCTTCTTCTTCGTCTTTTTCATCGTCTTCTTTTTCATCGTCTTCTTTTCTTCTTATTCTTCGTCGTCTTTTTCTTCTTCCTCATCGTCTTTTTCTCCTTCCTCTTCTTCGTCGTCGTTTTTTCTTCTTCTTTTTCATAGTCTTCTTCCTCGTCGTCTTTTTTTCTTCTTTTTCATAGTCTTCTTCGTCGTTGTCTTTTTCTTCTTCTTCATTGCCTTCTTCTTCTTCATCGTCGTCTTCTTCATAGTCTTCTTCTTCGTCATCGTCGTCTTTTTCTTATTCTTTTTATAGTCTTCTTCTTCTTCTTCATTTTCGTCTTCTTGTGCCGTTTCCCTTCAGGACCAGGGCGCTCATGGCTCTACACAACTACCCAACTTTTGTAGTTCTGAATAAGGTTTGCCTTTTTGCTAACCTTCCTAGTTCCTGTTCTGCCAACAGTTGCACAAGCTCGTTCTTTAGGTTTCACACTGTTTCTCTATGCTCCTCTTGCATTCGATAGTTCCTTGTGAGCATCGAATTCTCCAAGCCGTCTCCCCTCATTACGTGACACAGAAATTCCAACTGTCTCTTTCTAATTCTAAGTATAAACTTCCTTATTGTTTCTACTTTGTTTAAAACTTCAGTTAGGATTTATAGATGTAGCGGTAAGGTCAACAGATATTTCTCGGTTTGAATGACACGATTATTCCTCTATGTGTTCGGTCTCTTCAGCCGGTGGATGATCATTGCTCTTCCCGACTCTTGTAGTTCTGAGTAAGGTTTGTCTTTTTTCTGTCGCTCCTAATCCCCTTTTCTGCTAACCTTTTACAGTACACAAGCTCATTAGATAGGTTATTCGCTATTTTTCTCTGTTCTTCTTGCCTTCGATAGGCCCTGTGAGCGTCAATTTCTCCAAGCCGTCTCCCCTCATTACGTGACACAGAAATTCTATCTGTTTCTAGTTCTAAGCATGATAGTCTTTTTTGTTTCCACTTTTTCTGAAAATTTCTCTCGTCACGCACAGATTCAGTCCATGTAGGAATTTCATTAAGCTTTTATCGCTTATTTTATTTTCTAAGATTTTTCTCACGTCGTTGAATGAGCAACGAGGATAGACAAAAATTTAATTTATTTTTATTCTGAAATTCAGAAAATACAAGGCATGAGAGCCACCCAAGTTGGGTTACATTTAAAATAGTAATGATGAATGAGGTGTGCACTATGAATAAAAAAAATAGGTGGCAGGAAGTGGAGATTATGAGGATAAGGAGGATAAATAACGATTAGCCCCCAGCCTTTAAGAGGTTAAGCTTCAAGTGTAGAGGATTATTGTTAATATGATTATGATGAATGAGGTGTGAGTTATGAATGAATGAGGAGGTGGCAGAAGTGGAGATTATGAGGATAGGCAGGATATATAATGGTTAACCCCCAGCCTTGAATAGATTAAGCTTCAAGTATAAAGGGTTACTGTTAAAGTGGTTATGATAAATGAGGTGTGCGATATGAATAAAAGAGGATGGGTAGGAAGTGAAGATTATGAGGATGAGAAGGATAGATAACGATTAACACCCAGCTTTGAAGAGATTAAGCTTCAAGTGTAGAAGGTTAGTGTTAAGATGGTTATTGTTATAATTTTGGCTAATCCTCATCGCCAAAATTTTGTAACCTAGGGAAGATAACTGAATAGAATAATCGCACGAAGGTTGGTAATGAACGATAATACTTAGGACAAGAACAACACATATAAGATTCGCCAGTGGCGCGTAGAAGTAGTCAACTGATAGATGTCAGTCAAGTTAATTCTATAATGACTCTCAAACTGCAGGATATCTACCAACAACCCCACGCGGTCAGATGTGGCACAAGGCCGAATTTAATGTGGGGTATCCGAGTCCGTGACCTCGGCGAAAAATTCCCGGTAGATCCAGTATAAAACGGTGTCAGGTAGCTGTTTCCCGAGACGAGACTGTCCTTCGACAGAGCGTCGTCTGGGGATCATCTCTGTCCGGAGGCAGAGAGTTTAACCAGCACAACTGGAGACAAATCTCCAACTGCAGACCAACATACAGTATTTACTATTGTAACGATGTGAATGGAGACATACTCATTATCGTCCGTAGATGTTCTACAACAAAAATCGATTTAAATAAACTTCATTTTATTGAACTTTTTATTATTGAATTACAATACCCTGGTATTCTACCTAAATCTTTGTTTATTGAAGTCTGCTTCAGTTTGTTTATTTACTAATTATTTATGAATTTAAACAAATGACTGTCCATGTATTCAAGTTTAAAAATCCATCAACATTTTCTATTGCTATTAAATTTGTAAATCCAGTATAGACTGGGGATCCTCTTTGCATAGAAGCAGAGAGTTTGACCAGCACAGCTGGAGACGAATCTCCAACTGCAGACCAACATACAGTATTTACTACTGTATTTATGTGAATGGGGACATACCCTTTATCGTCCGTAGGTATGCTACAATAGTTATGAGGAATGAGGTGTGTGATATGAATGAAATGTGGGGTGGTAGGAAGTGGAGATTATGAGGATAAGATAGATAACGATTGACACTTGACTTGAAGATATAGGGGTTTGGAGGCAGAGTGTTACTGATAAATTGATTATAATGAAAGAGCTGTGTGATATGAATGAAAGAGAAGGCAGTAGGAAGAGAAAATTATGAGAAAAGGAGGATAACGATTCACCATTGACTTGGGGAGGTTACGCGAGGGTTTGTTCAACAAAGTAGCAGTTCTTGTGAAAAAGCTGTCTGAGTGGGAATTGATTCTTAGATGAATGAAATGAGAGCGATGCGTCTACGTGCATGTGGCATGGCGTATTATGTATTTACTTTTCAATATTGCTCTTAGTCAAAACGATATCTATATCTGTGGTTCTTCCAATATATATCTTTGCAATGAAGACATAACTTATAAACAACTGAAAGCAATGGCCTAAATCATAAGAAGAGGGCGAAATTAGTCAAGAAAGTATGAGGAATAATAAAAATCCTTCATCTTAGAACCTCAGTCAACTGAAAGCATTTGACTAAATAAGAACATGAATATATCAGTCAAGAAAATATGTGGAATAATAAAAATTCTTCCCAGTACCTCAGACAACTGAAAGCATTTACCTAAATAATAATAAGATGATGAAGATATTAGTCAAGAAGATATGTTAAATAATGAAAATCCTTCATCTTAGAACCTCAGACAACAGAAAGCATTTAACTAAATAAGAAGGAAAAGAAAATATTTTGATGAAATAATAAAAATCCTTCATCTCATATTAACTGAAAGCATTTGAAAATGATGTATTAGGCAAGAAAATAATAAAAATCCTTCATCTCAGTACCTCAGACAACTGAAAGCATTTGACTAAATAATAATAATAATAAGATGAAGATATTAATCAGGAAAATATGTGAAATAATAAAAATCCTTCATCTTAGAACCTCAGAAAACAGAAAGCATTTGACTAAATAATAATAAAATGATGAAGATATTAGTCAAGAAAATATGTGAAATAATAAAAATCCTTCATCTCAGAACCTCAGAAAACAGAAAGCATTTGACTAAATAATAATAAAATGATGAAGATATTAGTCAAGAAAATATGTGAAATAATAAAAATCCTTCATCTCAGAACATTAGACAACAGAAAGCATTTGACTAAATAATAAGAAGATGAAGATATTAGTCAAGACTTTTTCTTTTTTGGTCCTCGTCAGAATTAACCATTTTTTTTTTTCGTTTCAGCAATACGACAGATATATTTGGATTGATTGGAGATGACAGCATTAAATATGTAATTCTCTCGTTTTGCGTGTTCATATTAGCCACTCTGAACATGTATATATGGTCTTTCGTGAAAGAAAAACAGTTAATTCGAGTTCGGCAAGCTCTCATTCAGTCTCTCTTCACAAAAGACATCAGTTGGTTCGATCAGCACCAGAGAGGCGAAATCAGCTCCAAATTGCTCAGGTAATATTTGGCTGCCATTCCAACAACTCCCTGGATCTTATTACTGTCCATACGAATAGAAATTAAAAATTGTACTCAATTATCTAAATCCATAAACGTATTCAGTTGACAGAATTTTATTCTTTTATCTTCGTAACTTATATTTCTGCCTACTTTTATATATAATAGCAGGCCACTCGTATTCGAGGATACCCGTCTACTAGGGCGGATAGCTAATCCCTAATTCAGACGTTTGCTCAGGCAAATTTGTATTTGTTCAGCTCCCACAGAGCCTACCTGTGGTTTATACTGCAACTATGCTGAGCAGGCCTTAGTTACAGTTTTTTGGGAGAGAGCGTTTGATCTAGCGTGATTAACAATCTGAACAAGTCAAGTACACTCAGACCCTCGGTCACGATGACTTGTGACTTCGTGCTAGCACAAATATCAACGGTCCGTCTCCCCAATTTCACTCAACCCGTGGTATGATTTTCAGGCATTTTCCAAAGGTATCGCACGCTGGGATCATCCCCCTCCGGACCGATAACATCAGGAATTCGCCTTCCTAACAAATCAACCGTGGTGAGATTCGAACAACGTTCTAAGATAAACAAATAACGTTCCCAAAGTTTATATATATATATATATATATATATAATGTTATTAGTGGTAAATATATACATACATATGCAAAATATATAAATATATATACATACATGCATACAAAATACATATATATATATTTTTTTGTAAAAAAAAATCCAAGAGGATAGAATCCAGAACTAGAACTCAATGTCCAGGATAAAATAAGCATATAATAAAAAAAAACACTAATTTTAATCCATGGTCTATAATTTATTCCATTGGAATCATAAATTTACCTACTTCCAATGGAATAAATTAATTACCCTGCTCTGTTAAAAATTTTTGTTATTCCTTTTTATTAAATATATATAATTTATATATATATATATATATATATATATATATATGGTAGAATCTTTTAGTTCAACTTGCAGCAAAACAAATTTACCCGAATAATAAAAGGAATCCTAAAAGAAAGAACCAATAAATTAAACCAAAGTGAAAATAATCGTCCAGTGTTTTCTGGTTGTCCAAAGATAAAAAAAAAAAACGATTTTTTATTACGTAAAGTGATCAATACACTAAGCAAAATAAAAATATTTGTAATCCCAAGGAGCCAGACAAACCTAAAATAGGTTTCACCTAAACGGATCTTCAGGGTAATCCTTTTTGACAATTAAAATTTCGTATTTGGCTTCTTTTATTATTATTATTATTTTTTGTCACGTGGTCATGGTTATTTTGGTTTTAGCTATAAAATGTTCCATAATTTTTATTCATTAGGATTACCTTTGAAATCGAATTTAGGTGAAACCTAGGTAGGTTTGCCTAATTTGATAGGATTATATTTTCAGGTTTTGCTTTACTTAGTCTATTGAGCATTTATGGAGTTGTCTTTTTAATCGTTTTGGGTTTTATTTTTTTTTGGACTTGAGCTTGAACACTGACGATTGTTTTTATTTTGGTTTAATGTTTAAATTTTTCTTTTTTTTTTTTTCCCCATTTTTCCTCATTCGAATCTATTAGTTCTACTGATTTTTGAGCTATCCAGGTTTTTCAAGCAACTACCACCATTTACACATTTCACTCACACATATATATATATAAATTTCACCAACTTACTTTCGTTTATTAGCCATTGAACTATATGACCTCACGTTAATGAACTTGCCTGACCTTTCTGCTAACCTGATGAATATTCATGAGCACTCCTATATTCCAAAATTTAAAAAATAAAATTTTTGCTCTTGTATGTAATTTACTTGTCACAAAATAAAATCCTTATATTTGTCTTGATAAAGTCTCTCAGAGGACGAAACGCGGCAGCTAAGATAAGTTTTCCTTTTGTCTTTATTCATATTGTCCTTTTATAGACATACTCTATCTGAAATTTTTACATATATTCCTCATTTCCAATTCTTTTCATTACATAGCGACATTGAAATCCTGGAACGTGGGATGGGAGAGACTATTGCAATGACGATACAGTGGATTTCTGCAGTTGTGGCTCTCCTAATAAACTCATTTGTACAGTCACCGGATGTAAATGTTGAAAAATCTTCCCTATTTCCCGTTGTGACATCTTTTCTGTCGGATTTAAAATTAATTTGTCAAATTTATATTAATGATTATTTATATGCAGAATTTCTTCACGTCATTAATTCTTTATACTTTTTTTAACTTCTTTATTATTGGCCTTGTATAAAAAAGGTTTTAGGTTAAGTTTATTCCCAATGAGTTATTCCTCTTGATCTGGAACTCTTTAGGACGAGATTTGAATAAATAGATGCTTCCAAACCTTCTTTTATGTGGTATTTTTATATCATATTACATGTAATTCAATGATCAGTCAGCCTCGATATTATCTCTCCTTGTCGTTATGCTCAACATTTCCTGATAAGAATACCACAAAGTACAAAAAGAAAATTGGATAAACTTCTTCTTATTTTTAAATTCAACCGCCGAATGTTGTAAGCAAAGATTTCTTTTTTTCATTTGGGATAATATTTTCCCAAAATGAAGCACAAAACCAATATAGTCAGAACAAAGCACCGCCACATCCTGTTAGAATTTTCTTTCTCACCTCTGGTGGCAGTAGTGGAGATGTCTGTGAAGCCCTAGCCTACTCCAGAAGAGTTGTGGGCAGGAGTCACAGAGGAATGTGTGTAGTGGACGCGGCTAGGCGAGTTGGGTCCTCCTGACAGCACGTCGCAGATACTATTCCTGTTAAAGGTTGGACGCGAAAATCTGCACCACCATACCCCAACCCACCCCGGGTGGTCCTGCGCCAGCAAGGCCGATTTGCAGCAACGGTTTCGAAGCTCTCAGGGTCGGTGTTGGCCTGTGCCAGAGATGTCTTCAACTATGAAATCTTTTGAAGTGTCGTTTTGGGCCTTTGTGTAGCCTATTTTATTGAAGACTTCTCCAAAAACGGTGATATCCATGTGGGAGTCAAAGGGAATATTCTGGACATGACCTGTCCAGCGAGTCATAAACAACACGATATTATTTTATTTAAAAAATTTTATATGGGCGTAAAATTCATGATTTTATATGCGTGCAAAATTCATAATTTTATATGAATGTAAAATTCATGATATATATGCGTGCAAAATTCGTGATTGTATATGAATGTAAAATTCATGATTTTATATGAATGCAAATTTCATGATTTTATATGCGGGCAAATTTCATGATTTTATATGCGGGCAAATTTCATGATTTTATATGAAAGCAAAAAACTTATTTCTGTACGTTTTTTAAATTCCTTGTTTGATATCCGTACAAAATCCCTGATTTTGATATACGTTTAACATTCCTGTATCATATTTGTTTAAAATTCATGATTCTAAACAATATTTCTTTTTTAAATTTGACTTCGGGTCTTTCCTTCTCTAAATTATTAATTGCAAAAGAACTTCCCGCCATTCGCTGTTGAGTGTGACCTATAATTGAAATTCTCGTCATCTGCAGTTAATATTAAATTACCTAATTTTTCTTATCTTCTTTGTTTTAACCGTTTCCCCACCAAGCAAGGCAATAAAGCCACTAAGATATCAAGTGTTACTGAGTGTGAGAGAATTAAAAAAAAGACATTATTAAGGAGAGAGAACAATAAAAGAAAAGGAATTAAGAAGAAAGAAGATAACAATTGACAATGATTTTAAATTTTTGAAGATCAAAGTGGGAAAGCAAGAATCCGGAAGAGAGTTCCACAAGCTAGAAGTGCAAGAGAAGGAACTGTTAGCATAGAACTTACGGTTACATCTAGCCATTTCAACTGTAAAATGACGACACCTTGCCGCCAATCTAGTCCTACCCTTACATTTCATAAAGCCTAGAGCATAGAGGTAAGTTTATCAGCACATTTACCATGAAAGTATTTATAGAAATGGCACAGGAAAGCTACTTTACGGTGGTGACAAATTGACTGAAGACGAGATGACATGTCAGGACAAATAACATTGCAGATTCTTCTTTGTACTTTATCAAGAATTTCTGAATGCATATCGTAAGCCCAAGACCATATAAGAATGAAATAAAATCTATTATCTACTTGTATCTTTGTTTTATTTACCAGATAAGTAAAACATATACGCAACGAGAAGAAAATGGTAAGATTTTGGTGAAAAAGGCGCTGATCCCAGCCATTGACAACATTCGATTATTCGCGGCTTTTCAAAGTCAAGAGTTCGAAGCGAAAAGGTAAGAAGCTGATTAAAAAAAATTAGATGTTATCAGGTCATCCCATAAGTTCTGTCCGAATTTTAACTTTTTGTTAAAATGAACGAAATTTAAAGAGTATTTTATAATGTCGAATGGAGCTGAACATTATTTTTGTTTAGATGCATTTAAACTGATCAAATTTTATTTCAGAGAACAATAAAATTAAATTTTGTTTGATTAAAACCCTGCTAACATGGAAGTACCCAAGAATCATTTGAGGCACATAATGCTTTATGAGTTCAAGAAAGGAAACTCAGCAGCCGAAGCGGCTAGAAACATTCACTCAGTTTATGGAGAGGAATGTGTGAATGAAAGAACTTGCAGAAGATGGTTTGCAAAATTCAGAGGTGGAGATTTCACCCTTGAAGATGAAGATCGAACCGGACGTCCAGTTGAGTTTGATGAAAAGCTTCTTGAAGCAGCCCTTGAAGAAAATCCTGCTTTATCAGTTGAGAATTGGCAGTGGTTCTCAGTTCAAACCATACAACTGTTCATCGTCATCTTCAACAACTTGGAAAAGTTCCTAAACTTGGAAAATGGGTGCCTCATGAATTGTCTGAAAACAACCTCAAATCCCGAGTTGACATCTGCTCTTCTCTCAATTCTCGCCAACTTGTTTCACCTTTTTGGATAGACTTGTGACTGGCGACGAAAATGGATCTTTATCGAAATGTTAAGCGTCGTAGACAGTGGTTTGGTAAAGGGGAAGGACTCCAGCCACAGCCGAGAAGGGAACTTCATGGGCAAAAAGTTCTTCTTTCAATCTGGTGGGATTGCCAAGGAATAATTCACTTTGAATTCTTACCACCTAATGCAACAATTAATGCTCAAATATACTGTCAGCAATTAGAGCGTTTGAACCAAGCTTTGAGGAAAAAAAAGACCTGCTCTAGTGAATCGAAAAGAGGTGATGTTTCATCAGGACAATGCGCGACCCCACACAGCAAGAATCACGTCACAAAAAGATCGAAGAACTTGGTTGGGAGAAAATTCCTCATCCACCTTATTCTCCTGATCTTGCTCCTTCAGACTACCATTTGTTTCGTAGCTTACAGAATCATTTGGAAGAAACAGCTTTTGTAACACAGGAAGAGGTTAAAACTGACATTTGTGAGTTCTTCGAATGAAAGACAAAAGAATTTTACAGTAATGGAATTAGTAAGCTTGTTAATAGATGGAAGGAAGTCATAGATAATCAGGGAAAATACATTGTTGATTGAATCTGTAATTAAATGTAACATTTGGTCACTTGTTTTCTTTATTCAAAATTCGGACAGAACTTATGGGATGACCTGCTATAATTCTGGTCCCATCTTTTCTTTTTTAATCATTTCATCTCAACAAAGCAATAATACCAATATAACGCGTGGGGTCACTGGCAGTGAAAGAGAATAAAAAAGGCTTTAATAAGAAGCGTAGAAAGGACAATGCACAGGGTTCAAGGAGACAAAAGATGGCGATTGACATTGCATTTAAATATCCGAAGATCAAAGTTGACTGCGAAGCAAGAAGCCAGAAAATTTTTCCACAAGCGAGAAGTGCGAGTGAAGAAACTGTTAACATAGAACTTACGGTTATATCTAGCCATTGCAAATCTGAAATGAGGAAACCTAACCGCCAATTTAGTACTGCGCTGAAATTCATAAAGTCAAGATACGGTAGAGGAAAGTTCATTTTACCATGAAAGTATTTATAGAAAAGGTACAGGGAAGCTATGTTAGGGCGGTGGATATGTGACTTTTATAGAAGCTTTTGAAGCTAAAGTTTCAGAATGACAAAGGGAAATAAAGTTTTCTAATTTATTTCTAAAATTAATAGCAGTAATTATTTTAGACAATTGATATGGCTTAACTGAATAGCAGTGTCATTGGTTGAAAAAAAAAAAAACCAAAAAACAAAGTTAGTCTTAATGTTATTTTTTTTATAATCCTTACATTGCTTAAGGCAATAAAACTAAGACAAAATTTACAGGGAAAAAAAAAAAAAACTGAGAAAGGACGAAAAATGAACGAGACTCAAGCAAATTTCAGTAAATGGATAGCAAAATTTGTTTTAGGAGAAGTAACAAAAAGACAAAATTTAATAAGAGCAACAAAGAACAGAAAGTTGTGGAGACCCATGATCTCCAATGTCCTGAAGGGATGTGCCACATAGCAGAAGAAGAAACGTGTATTTGGATGGCAAAACTGGGTTTAGGAGAGATAACAAAAAGAAAAAAAAATATTAAGAGAAATATTAAGGAAATTGTGGAGAGCCATGATCTCCAATATCCTGAAGAGATATGGCGCATAAAAAAAAAAAAGACTATTTCAATCATTTCACTCCAAGCAAGGCGTTAATGCCAGTATGACGCATGAGATTCATGGGAGTTAAAATGTGAAAAAAAAAATGATAAAAAATAGAATAGGATTAAGAAAGGCAGATGATGACGATTGACGTTGCCTTTAAAATTTTGAAGATTGTCGTTATCAGGGAAGCAAGAAATCTGAAAGGACTTCACCATTAGAATAGAACATACAGTTGCATCTAGCTAGTTCAACCTTAAAGCGGAGGGATCTAGTTGCCTCGTCCTCGGTATGGCGATAAACTATATCCTACAGCAAGGCCTCTGATCCGGAGATTGGAGTTTTTGAGAAGCGTGGAGTTACCTCAGCTGCTGTTGATCCTGGGCCCACTCTGGTCGGTGTAGGGGGGTGATAATAACTGTTAAGCTCCCAGTTATGGGAAAATAGTGAATCCCAAAACAAAAATCAACAGTACATTTTCTCAAATAAAAATGAAAAATATTGATTTTTATAAAAAAATGACAATTAATGCAACACTAAAAAATATAAAAATACATTTTTATAGTAAAATTACCAATAATACATTTTATGATCTACAAATTATATAAATCAGTTGCACCTCGAGGCGGTGTAATGTCATGGGCTTGTTCTCATTTTAAACAATTACGACTGAATAATCGGTTCAAAATATCACTGGGTGCTCCATAATTTCGGCCTTGTGCCACATCTAAATTACGCTTGGAAAATCACTATATTTCTAAAAAAAATACCTTTTAAGTATATTTAAGAAGTATAAAATTATGTTCAGAATATCTGTAGGTGAAAGCATAAAATTTATGTACGAAATATTTAGTTTTTGGCATTAAATAATCCATAAAGGTGTTGATATGCTGCTAAACAAAATTGATGACCTAGTTGCCAATCTAGTAGCACGTTGAAATTAATGCAGTCGATGAACCTAAGAGGAAAGCAAAATTGCAATTAAAATGTTTGTAGAAACGACAGTGGGGAGCTACATCATATCGGTGAGAAAGTGACTGAAGTTGAGATGCCAGGTTAGGATCGATTACAGACCCTTCTTTGAATTTTGTCAAGGACCTCGAGATATATAGCAGCAGATCAGATACGACAATAATATTCAATGCACTGACAAAGTCTTGGGTTGGTGCATAATTATCAGGCGTTTTTGTAGACGAGTTATTTATTAATAAAAATTCGTTTTGTTTATATTTTTTAGTAAAAATTATTTTATTTTCAGGTTGTCGATAAATATACGCTCCGGAATAATCATTTAAAAATGTTATTGTTGAATTGTTATGTTTCTTTTTTTTATAATAGATATTATTTAAAAAACGCCTGATAATTATGCACCACCGCATAGATTTGTAAATGTGCAAGATGGATTCTGACTGGAAGAATTGTCTGGCACGACACATTGAACCAATATTCTTAGAGACAGAGCTGGAAATTAGTTCAATATAATCATTTCTCAGTGGAAAACGTGAAATAATGTTGGTCCACAAAGGTGTAGAGTTATTGAGGAAAAATAGCTACGGATTTACAAAATTTCCAAATGCTCCATTCTTCAAATGAAACATTGCTCGCTGGCCACATGGGCAATTTTTTTCAAGATGATTGATTGGCTCGTTTTCTACGGCGTATCAACCCTTTACAGGTTATTCAAAGCCAGAAAATGTTTAAATTGTAAGAATTAAATAAAAAAAAAATGTATTAAGAATTAAATAAAAAAAAATGTATTATTAAAAGACAGCTACAACCTGACCAACTACACACGCACGGTCGGCAATTGATTCTCTTTCGCGGATGAAACTAATTCAATTTTGTGCTTTTCAGGTTATTTAAAAAATTCAAATTTGCTCGACATATGACATTTCGCAAATATCTGTGTTATGGCATTAAAAATGGGTCATTTTGGATGTTGGCGTTTTTACTTTTAATGGATTCAAATCGCGTCGTACCATGTCCTGGAAGGCAGAATGTCACCGGGAGAAGCCATTCAGGTAATTCACTTAAATTCACATTTACGTTTTAATGATTTTAAATTACCTTTTTTTTCCGCTTTATTGAATCTCCTAAATATTCGTTACCAAGTTTTCCAGGAAATAGGTTTGGTTTGGTTTAGTTTATTTTACGGCATATCAACCATAATGGGTTATTTAATGCCGACAACATTTTTAGGATAGGTTCGTATGAATAAATATGTATTCTTTGGTTTTGATTGGTTTGGTTTATTTTGTTTACGGCATATCAACCTTTTTGAGTTATTTAATGCCAACATTTTTAAAAAATAAATTTCATGTTGAATAAAATATTATTTTTTGGTTTAGATTGGTTTCTTAATTTTTTTACGGCATATCAATCTCAATGGGTTATTTAATGCCGACAACATCTTTCGTATTGAATAAATCATTCTTTGCCTAAAATTAATCCTTTTTATGGTAGGTTTAACGACGTATTTTTTAAAAACGAGGGTTTTTGTCGAGAGTCAAATGTATTTATACTTGTTTCCCATTTTTCCCTTTTTAAGGCAGCGTGGGAAGTGTTTTCAGAGGATATAATATTTATTTTCAACATGAATACCTTCTTTGTTAATGCACTTAATTCAACACATTTACGTACACTAAATATATAGAAAGTGCTTTAACGGAGTGAGACACTGGAATCTGAAGGCGGATCGGGATAGCCAAAGATGGATTCCAAAAGCTAAGCAGATTGGCTTGGTTTATTTTGTTTTACGACATATCAACACCTCAATGGGTTATTTAATGCTGACAATATTTATAGGATAGTTTCGTATGAATAGAATATTTATTCATGTAAGAAATCAGTTTGTAGATTAGGTTTCATTGACGTATTTTTGCAAAGAGGGTTTTGTTGAGTGTTAAATGTATTGTCGGTAATTTTTTCCACAAATATATTATCTGGTATTTTTACTATAAAATACGATTTTTACACCTTCATTGTGTTTTGACCCCAGTTTGGGCGTTAGCTATTTTCCCATAGTTGAGACCCTAACAGGTGCTACTACACTGGGTCTGGGTTGACCTGGAAACAACAGCAATTAAGAGGTGGTTCTATACTTCTCAAAACCTCCTGATCAGAGGCCATGCTGCTGGATGTAGTTTATTGTCGTACCTAGGACACCTCATCAGGAATGAGTGTCTTACCCTTCTGCAAAAGTGCAGTCAGCATATTCTGAAGCCCCACCTGACAGGGCGGCAAGGAAATTGAATATAGAATAGGTTGTGCTAGGGGTCGTTTCGCCCAACACCGTAAAAAAACCCCCAAAATATCAACCTGAAAATTCGAGTGATGTTCTTAAATAGCCTCGTCAGATCAAGACTTTTATATGGATGCCATGCATGGTGCCAAACGCGTTCAGAGATATCTAAACCGTTAGCTGTATGAAATCGCTTTTTCAGCTCAAAAACAGCTTTGAGCGAGTGAAGACTGGATCTTAGCGAAATTTGTGAACTGGCGCTACAGAATCACAAACAAAGAAATGTACCAAATAACAGAAAGCACACCACTTGATGACTACCAACAGCAGCAACAACTAAAATGAATATCACATGTAACTCGAAGAAAACGATGACATAATCAAGATTTTGACATTCCACACCACTTCAATAAAAGGTTAGGAAGGAAACACCCATCATTACTGGAAAGACTGATAACAGCTCCTCAATCCAAGTCGTTATCCATTACTCCACTAAGCAGTTGTTGTTCAAATGGTGGTAAATTGTTTAAATTGCCTCATTATTCAAATTAGTTTTCTGTCCTTAACATCTAGACCCCAGCTTGGGAGTAAAGGGAAGTAAGCAAGTTTTACATTTTTTTTAAAAATAGTTTATTTTCAAAAATCTAAGAATTATAAATTATTATATCATGACCTGTGTGTGCATGCAAACATTATGTAAAATTGTGACATCAAATAAATATTGTTTTTATCATTTATATTTGTCAGTATGTCTCTCCCTAAATCTTTCCTACCTAAGGACGATCACTAGTCCCCCTAATCCATTAGGGGGGCATCACATGTACTGCATCCATAGTAGCAGTGGTGTATCTTGTGTTAGATAGCCTGACGTAGCCAGAGACTTAAACAGCATGCGAAAAACAAATAAAATGATTTTTTTTTATTCTAAATGATATTGTATTTAAATTTTCAGGCAATTCTTGGTCTTTTGATGAGCGCCATTTTTGTCGGACAAGTTTATCCCTGCTTGGAGTGTATTTTGAAAGCGAAAGAAGCCGCTAAGAATTTGATGGACGTCTTAGACGAGGTCAGTTGCTATTAGAGTGTATCAAAAATATTTTCACAGACCTTTTTTTTTTTACTTGAAAGCAGACCTGCACAAATAAACATTATCAAGGGCCACATTATTCGTGGAAAAATTGTCCGGCTTACTACGGCTTATCAACCGTTTGCAGGTTATTTAAAGCCAGAAAATATTTTGAGATTTTAAAAATTTCTTTTTTTTTTCTTTAAATAATAACAAACAAGAAATTATAATGTGGATATAAAATGGGGGATAAATTCCATATTACTATCAATATATAAACTGATCCCTCACTTTCTGGCCACGGTAGTTTACATCTATATATCAGATAATGTAAACAAATCTAAAAGACATACGTGGTTACCTGATCAGTATTCCATTTATTGATTCTTTTTTACGGCTTATCAAACCTTTGCAGAAAATATTTTTAGACTGTAAGAATTTACTTTTAAAGACATTAATGATTTAGTGATAGAAGTCATACTAATAAACTCATAGCTGAGGGAGAAGAGATGGAGTCTTATTTTCTCAAAGGGTCTTTGCATGTAAAGTGAATATAACGAACCCTACTGAAGTTGGAACTCGGTTCTCCGATTAACAATTCCGAGCCATTATCTATTACTCCTCTAGCATACTGAAGCTTACATCTCAGGATGCTGACAACAGAAATGTTCTACAGAAGGATGATGAGAATACTATAGTTTAAAATGTCATTATAACGTCACGATTAATCTGAACAGTGTTAAGGATGAACCACTAAGTCATTGCAATTTTAATACACAGCTTGCATGCATAATTATATATCTGGAACTAAACCCACTGTAGCACAGTGGTTAGTACACTAAGTTCGATCCTCACTAAGTACCGGACTATTTTGATACTGGGCCATATTAAGCTAAACTTACTTACCTACAAGGGGAATCTTTCGTTGTGTGATGGTTAGTAAATTTGTCTTGCCGACCAATTCATTTAAGAAACCAGAACATTTCGATAGAAACGACGAAAAAGTCCTGGGCTGATATGTAATATCAGTCCTCCTTTATGGTAGTGAAGGCTAGATAATTTCTTCAAGGATGAAGAGGAGACGGAGGTGGCCAACAGAAATGTAATTCTACAGAAGGATGCTCAGAATAACATGGAGGGATCATGTGAGCTACGAGGAAGTTTTAAGGTCAATAGAAACGAAAAGGACACTTATATTTAGATTCATAAAGAGACAGCGGAATTTTTTTTTGTACACAATGAGGAAAGAGGGCTTGGTGAATATGACACCCACGGGATATAAATACAAGAGGGACAAAGAGCGCGAGAGAGAGTGAGAGAGACCTACATAGCAAGTTTGTGGAAATGGGTGTTGAGCAGAGAGTGAGATGATGATAAGAAGACAAACATTATTAAATTAAGGGCTACACAGGGTAAGAAGTTGTGGCGAGTCATGACTGCCCACATAAAAGAAGAACAAGAATAACTTTTTTGTCGAATTTGTTTTCGTTTTCAAGAAACCAACTATTAATCAGAATTCAAGAGAATAAACTCTTCCTGGAACTAACAAATAGAAATTGAATTTTCTGATGTTCATTTTAGCTACTCTTCCGCATCTGAACTAAAGGTAAGTTATTTTGATATATACCTAGCTTTTTGTTGTACCTTCTTATATATATATATATATATGATTTCTACACATGGTGATCCTATATTAGGAGGCACGGTGGAGTAATGGATAGCGGCTTGGATTGAGGAATCGCAGAGCCGAGTTCGAATTCCAGTCGAATGCATTACATTCACTTACGTGCTAATACCCTTGGGAAAGGTATGAATCCTCTTTCTCTCCCTCCAGCTATGGGTAAAATAGCAGGACAGACAGGAGTTCTATAGCCTTGGATGGCAACTGGTCTAGGAGAAGGACAACTCTGAATTCAAAATCCTGAGGGGGGTCGTTTGGGAACCTTGTGGCACTCATTGCACCAGGTCTCTGTATTCGTCCCTTCAAAAAGTGTGGATGGTCCTGCACGAGGCCTTCACCACTATAATCAAATCTCATGTGCCGGTGTCGGGCTGTCGGTTTCCTGGAAACTGATCTGCTTGACCCTCATATGTCGAATGTCGACGGGAGCGTAGACTATATATATATATATATATATATATATTTGTGTATTTAGGCAGCAATCATTATTTCATGCACATTTCATTGAATACGACAGACAAGGTGCTTTTTAGTTTTTTTATACAATTTCTCATGCGATCCAATATTTTACTTTTCAGATGATAAATTATATAAAAACTGTTCGAATGTTCTTTTTATCCGAGCGCTTTCGGTTATACATTTAGCCATTTTCAAAGATGACATATTTTAACTGTTAAATAAGAAATAGATAAATACTTACATGCAACAAGTTGTTTCTTATTTAACAGTTAAAATATTTCATCCTTAAAAATGGCTAAATGTATACATGAGAAATTTTATAAAATCACATGAGAAATTTTATAAAAAAAAAACTAAACAAAAGCACCTTGTCTGTCGCATTCAATGAAATGTGCATATATATATATATATATATATATATATATATTATTGAAACAATACAGGGCTAAATGGTGAAAGTAAACACGAGTAAATAGTCAATATAATAAAACTGGAATCAATAATGAAAAAAGATAACAGGATTATCGTGAAAAAATGAATAATTAGTAATAAAAATTAGCTATCAGCATAGCTAAAGATTTGGGAATTAATTCTCTATATTTTGTTTGAGCAGACTAACCCAATGACTTATATAGATATATGATGGCCTCTCCCATTGTGTTCGATGTATGAGATTCCGACAGCCACTAACTAATTATCTGCATGCCTATTCCGGGCATGACTTTTGAGACCAGCTCAAGAATTGCCCAAAAGACCACAAACAGTACCGGGGAATGTATTGTATCCAAGTGCAGCAGAGACACTGTTTGCTGTCTTATTTTTCTTTCGTGTTTCACGCAGTCGAATGATGCTTACTTCTTGATGGTGCATTCTTCCTGAATGGCAGCTGGAACGATATTTCTGATCTCTTCGTAGCTACTTCAAAATTCTTGAATGGAATGATGACGCAATATATATATATAAAGTATTATTATTATTATAATATTATTATTATTATTATTATTATTAAAACAGGTCCTGAATGGCTTTCAATTAACAGTTAAGCAAAATCAAACGGTTGCCCTCGTTGGACCGACAGGATGTGGTAAAAGTACTGTACCTCAACTGATTCTTCGATTTTATGATGCGAAAAAGGGACAGGTAAGAAGGCGTTGAAATTGGGAAATATTTATTGCAATACATATATATATATATATATATATATATATATATATATATATATATATATATATATATATATATATATATATATATGTGTGTGTGTGTGTGTATATAGTGTATTGGGGCGGCAAATTATTATTTAAACATATATTGTTAAATATAACAGACAATGAATTTCTATTATGTTTGATCATAAGCCGTTCTAAATTTCGTATGTTTGATTTAATTTCGAGTGAAAATAAAGACAAAATTGTTCAACATTTGGATATTTTTTTATTAATCTGTTCCTTGATGTATGATTTCGGCTCCCAGGGGCCATCTTCAAAGTGGTTATACGAACATTTAAACATAGATATATTAGATATATCAATTGACACAAATTATAATTTAAATTAGAAGTATTCACCATTTTCTTTGGATATAAGCACTTCATTTTTCGCGCCGCAAATTACTCTTGTATTTTATTTTAACCTTCTAGGTACATATTTTTGGTTAAAGTTATTTCTTTTTTAAATTTTATTAATTTTTAATTTTTTTTTAATTTACTACAGCGTTTTTAAGAAGAAATGTTGCTATGGTAACGATTATATTCGTTAATTTTTTTTCATTTCTTCTTCTGATGCTCTTAAAGATCGAAACGTTGACAACAAAATAAAAAATATCTTTAAACATCCAACTGATTTTCCCAAATCACATCTTACATACCGTGCTCGAATATTTCGTATCAGGTTTTATCATATACCGTATATACTCGTGTATAAGACGACTTCCTGTATACTGCAACTCCTGAATCTTTTAGCGCGAATTTTAACCGTCCCAGAAAATATTTACCTGTTTATAGTGCAACCGGTCACTAAAAATGAATGATTTTTAAACTCTTCAAAAACAATTACCTGTGTCTAATGCGATCCCTATTATTTGCGTAAAAAATTGATCATCAAAACTTGCACTATATTCAAGTATATATGGTATATAATATGCCAACAGTGAAGCAAGGGGTATTAAAATTAACTTTTGTTTAATTTTATCAGGTCCTTATCAGTGGTACCTACATCAAAGAAATGAAACTGCAGAACCTTCGGCGCCATATTGGTTTCGTCAGTCAAAAATCTTCCCTTTTGTCCGGCAGTGTAGCTGATAACATTCGTCTTGGCCATGAATCAGTGACCAGAGAACAAATTGTTAATGCCGCCAAATTGGCAAATGCCCATGAATTTATCATGAAGTTACCTCAGGTAAGTAATAGAACATGAAACACATACGCACACTAAAGTTCACCCCAGACCGTAAATGGAATTTATATATACGATCCATCACTAAAGACGCAGGAAAAATGGTAGGATACTTATAAAGCTCCAGACATTTCCTGACTCCAGTGTTTTAACTTTATACGAGCCAGAACAATCTAGAAATGGAGTGTTGCTGCCATATCCGGGCTGGAGCTGCCCAATCCTATCTTTCAAGCCTTGACAGTGTACAAAAGCGTCTACGCGCCCTTGTAGGCGATGAATTATTTTCCATACCGCAACCACTTTACAAGAGTCAGAGCAAATAAAAAAAAAGAAGTGTTGCTGCCATATCCAAGCTGGAGCTGCCCAAATTCTCTCTTTCCAGCATTGACAGCATTCGAAAGCGTCTACGCGCCCTTGTAGGCGATGAATTATTTTCCATCTTACTTTCCTTCCCCACGTCGCAAGCCTATCACTACTCTATCGCTATTTCCATGGGAAACGTTCTGACGGGCTATATTCCCTAGTTCCACAAGTTCAGACCTTTACGGCTAAAACCTGCCACGCCACAGGTGTGAACTATCCTCATTCCCTTCATATTCAATTAGTAAGAAGTGAGGTCCACCCGGATATCTTCTTCGTGGAAGAGACTCCGAGAAGATGCTTATCGTGACACCGACGATCTCAATCTCTTCAAGTCTCGTGTATATCGTTTTGTATCCTATATATCCTCATAATCGACTTTTTTTTTACAAACATAAAACAAGGATCTAACTTGAGTGGCTCTCAGTCCCTGTAGTTTGTGAAAAACGTCATAAATAAAAAACATATATGATGGACACTTCGTCGTTCTCGAGTAGAGGCATCATTTGAAGTGCTTTGCTTTCATCTCTGATCAGCTTGGATGTGATTTCTCAGGCCGACATTCTGTGGCACAGATGTTACATACATGACAACCTCCAGCAACGGGAGTTACTTTTTGGTCAGCATGTTGTATCCTGTATCATTTCAGAACTCCAGCTACACACACACACACATTGCATTTTATATATGTGCATTCTCAAGCACCATGTATTTTTCATAGTCTCTAAAAGTTTATATCATGATTAATAACCTTTAAATGTTCTCAACTGAGATTTGAATCTACCTTTTGTGCATCACAAAATCTTTTAAATGTCAAGAATGAACATAGACATTTTTATATCGCCAAGGCAGGCATCTATTATTTTTTACCATTCTTAAAGCCATTTTCTTTTCTTGTTTTTATCTTGACAAAGTTTTCAATGTTTTTTTCTTATTGTTTTGCGATTCTTTTAAACTGTTCATAATTATCAGGTTTGTCTTTTAAGATTACCTCTCTCTCACACAATCTTTATATATCTGAAATCTATAAAATAGTATTAATAACTATTACATAATTATTCACAATATCATGAACAATGCATGGTGGTTATTATCGTCTCTCAGATGCGTCACCGTCTCCGGGCAGCGGGCGACTCAGACGCGTCTACGTCTCCGGGCAGCGGGCGACTCGGACGCGTCTACGTCTCCGGGCAGCGGGCGACTCGGACGCGTCTACGTCTCCGGGCAGCGGGCGACTCGGACGCGTCTCCGTCTCCGTCTCCGGGCAGGGGGCGACTCGGACGCGTCTCCGTCTTCGGGCAGCGGGCGACTCAGATGCGTCTACGTCTCCGGGCAGGGTGCGACTCTGCAGACAGAGACGTAACTAAGACGCATCTGGGCAGAATAAAATCTGTGAGGTGCTCGGTCAAGGGGAAGAGCTTCCTGAGACTGCACCCTAACCCCATTGCACTAAAGATGTGGGGTCGGTATTCATACCGATGATAGCGCAACTTATGTAGGCTGGACAATTTTCGTACCTGGCCCGAGTGTACACGGTCATGTTCCTCACGTTAATCCCGACATTGTGTCATATCCTTTATAAGGGGAGAGACCAGGTAAATAATATGATGAAAAATTTTACATATGGATAATAAAATTCGATCACTAACCAGTTATTGAAAACATTCCTAATAAAAACAGATGTAATCTATCTATATATAAAATTCTGTAACTTCCGTTAGTCTGTCCGTCACACCCTCTAAAATAGCTATGCATTGACTGATCCAAACCAAATTCTGGGGAGAAGTGCAAACAGGTAAGGTGGGGGGTACAAAGTACAGTTGGTTTTTACTAAAGTGCGTAGCTTAGTACAGGGTGTTTCAAAAGACACGCGACGATTGTCTTGTGAAGTAGTAACCTGGGAAATTTTACATGGTATCATCTTCCATAATTCGATTAATAAAATGTCTTAATAATATATTGTCACATACAGAAACAGAATTCAATTTGGTAAATGAATATAAAAATTTACAATGTTATGGTAATGCGACTTTTGGAAAACCATTTACAGTGTTAACCCGGATATAAGAGAGTTGTCGGGACCGGATAAGAAGTCTCTTATATCCGGGTTTCTCTTATATCCGGGTTTGGTCTATTTTATATACATTAACACAGGCTCTAATTTGGGACCAGAGAAAATCTCTCTTATATCCGGGTTACACATTATTCATATATATTCATATATATATATATATATATATATATATATATATATATATATAGTGTAACCCGGAAATAAGAGAGTTGTCAGGACAGGAGAAGAAGTCTCTTATATTCGTGTTTGGTATAATTTATATACATTAACACAGGCTCTAATTTGGGACCAGAGAAAATCTCTCTTATATCCGGGTTATACAATAAATTTTCATTAATTCTTTTGGCAAAAATTAAGTTTTATTATTGAACATAGAAAATACTCCTATTTTAAGAAACAATTAAATTACTAAAATAACAAATACTTATCTCTCTCTCACACACACATATTTTATATATATATATATATATATATATAAATAAATTCAGCGACAGAATTCTTGACAGAATTCAAGAGATATTTCCCACCCTGCAACACTTTCTCCACAAATACAAGTCGTGAGCTTATCGCTACATTTTTTTATATCATTTCACCGAGCAAAACAAAACCGCTAAGACTCAAGGGGCTACTGAGTGTTAAAGAATACGTGATAAAGAAAACCTTATTAAGGGGAGAGAACAATAAAAGAACAAGAATTAAGAAGACAGCAAATAACGATTGGCATTACAATTAAATTTTTCAAGATCAAATTTGGAAAATAAGAAGGCGGAAAAGAGTTCCACAAGCGATAAGTGCGAGAGAAGTGTTTAACTTAGAACTTACGGTTATATTTAGCCTAACCGCCAATCTAGTACTTAAATTTATAAAGTCATGGCACCAAAGAGAAAAGCTCATCAGAACAATATTTCGATAGCAAATGTTCAGACGAACTTTTTTTTCTTTAGTGTCACTAATTCAGATACTTACAGCTAAGACCCGCCTTGCTACATCCACGAAGGGGGGGGGTGATATTTGACCAGTCCGTTATTGTTGAAATGACAAAAACACTGGAACAAACCGTGTTATCATATCTGGTGTTATATAGGAAGAGCCTGGTTGACTAGTGCGGTTTCTTGTGAATGGCCTTGTGTCATACTACCAAACTTCTCCGTATAAGAGTATTTTTGATATTCCTTAAGAACATCAATGGTTCATGTCAAGTTAGCAATGTAAAAAGTGGACAAACACCATTAGATAAGAAAAGGCAAAACAGGATGTAAATTTATTTTTTTTCAACAACAAATTTGGCAGGGTGCAGTAGAGGAAGGAATATAAAGTAGTTCTTGGTCTTTGGAAAGGCGGTTGAAGCAAATGTGCACAATGTGAGGCTGACTTTAATGGTTGGAGGCTGTTGCGTGCCAAAACGTAGTAATGTTGGCGCCAAGTTTCCTTGAAATAGGTTACATGGAAAGTTTCCTTCTTTTATTTATTTATTTGAATAAACAGTATAAGGGAGGCAACTCTACCTAAGAATGTCCTTTTTTTTTTAGTAGAAAAGGAAAGATCAGAAGCAACTTAGTGACAGAACTAATTCGGTCGGTAGTGAGATTTCGACCGAAGAATATCACCAAGATTACTGAGCTGCAAAAGCCTTCGTTGCCTGTAAGAAGTATAGGCCAAAAAGATGGAGAGATCTAGAAAGTATAGGTACCACGTGTGGAAGCTTGTGGATTTCTGACTTACTTGTTGTTTAGGCAAGTCCGTTCGATACTGAGGTTAGTGATGAAAATGCTTGTTGCTCTAGACATTAGGTTAGGTCAGAAAGTTGGGCTAAGACCGAGTCTACAACACAGATGGAAGGTAGCTTCGGCAAACGAATTGACTATGAAAACGGTCTATTGCCGAAGTCTAGGCGGTTGAAGCTTATGTGCAGAGAGAGATGTAAAAACACGTCTTCCCGACTCGATGCCCGTAGATCGTCTCTCACACGTGGATAGTTTTTGGCGGGTATCCGATGAGTCGCGTGGCCGTTTGACTGGCGGCAAAATGCCAACCGTACAAAGAACTTTGAATGGATGTTCGTTCCAAAACGGTCACGTGCCTTAGCATCGAAAGTGTTGGGTCGTTGCTCACAGGGTAGCAACGACGATGAAAGGAGAGAAAGAGAAAAGGTTCGAGGTAAACGATGATGGTAGGAGGGGTGTGCCGATAGTTAATATGCAAAAACGTAAATAAATTTGAAACTTTTTAAAACCTTTAACATTCTGTAGGCGATTTTATTCACTGAACAAAAAGCTTGTCCTGTAGCTGACTCCTGTGTCAAACAATATGTTGGTATTTTACAGTTGTGTTGTCATATCCTGCTATGACAACAGCAAGAAAAAATATTGAACGAAATTAAGATGTACACTACTGTAGTCGATGTTCTTGTCATATATAGTGGAAGGGAAATTAATACATAGGAATAATTTAGAGTGCTAAAGATTTTAAAGAACTTTGGACCAATGGTTCCCAACAAAATGGGGAATACCTCACTTTTACTAAGGGAGGATTTCAAGGACGAATTACGCTCACAGGTTAATAGATTTATATTTACAAATTGCAATTCTACAATGCACCTTTTGAGAAAATCAGTTATGGGATCGGGAAATGACAATTTGAAATACGGTGAAAATTAATAAAATTATTTTGTAAAATATAAATAGAATTTATTTTAAAAAATTAGTAATAAAACTGAATAAAATTATTTATTTCATTTAAGAAAACGATAAATGAGACGGTTTTTATTTCCAAAAGTTTTAATTTTAAATTTAATTTAATTTTTTTTTACTGTTCATGTCTAGGGTTATAATACACTCATCAATGAAGATGGAAATCAGTTAACAGACAATGAAAAATTACGTATTTCCATTGCGAGGGCCTTGGTACGCAACCCCAAAATTTTGCTTCTGGATGAAGTCACATCAGCTTTGGACAACGCCAGCGAAAAGATCGTGTTGAAAGCGATTGAGAAGGTATTTCTGTAAACTTACATTGATTGTAATCATTGCGTTTTAAATGTCTTAAAGCATTCATTCAATCATCGACTCACTTCATATTTTTTGGAGATCAGGTTTAAAAAAAGAACAAAACAGAAAAACAATTTTAGAATTTACTTCGGTTGGCCGGCTTTGATTTTGTGTTGCTGTCTTATTTAATGTCTAAATCTGTTTACCGTATATACCCGTGTAGCGTGCAAAGTTTGTTTTAAATACAGCTATACTTCCTGACTACAGTAAATGGATATAGAGTTTAGTCAACGCCGTAGATAGGGCCAGCAGTACATATGCTAATTTTTGTTTTTTTTTTGTTTTACGGCATATCAACAAATATGGGTTATTTAATGCCGACACAATTTTTATTGCTGGTAATGTGTTTTTTCAAAAATGGGGAGATTGGAATATTCCTCCTTGAAGAAAAATAATAGCTGGTCATTTTTTCAAAGAATGTATAACTGATTTATTGCTGGTATTTTTTTTCTTAGTATTGCTGATAATAATTTATCTTTCAAAAATTATTGCTGATAATAATTTTTTACAAAGAAATATTTCTGGAATTAAAACCTATTTTTACACAAGTTTGGGTGTTAACTATTTGCCCATAGGTGGGACCCTAACAGGTGCTACCACCCGGGTCAGGGTAGACCTGGGAACACCAGCAATTAAGAGGTGAACCCATGCTCCACAAAACCTCCTGATCAGGGGCCTTGCTGTTGGACGTAGTTTATCGTCTTACCCAGGATGCGGACGTAGTTTATCGTCATACCCAGGACGCACAGTAATTTTATATATTGGAGTATAATGTAACTTCCTTAAAATTAGCTTAAAAACTGTGTCTTTAAAAGTCGCATGATACTCGAGTATACACAGTAATTATTTTTTTTAATACCAGCGTTCATAAGAAATTATTTGTTTCGGGATAGGTAAATATTGATCATTTATATCTGAGTCTATAATCGTTTACCTGGTTCGGGGATAGGTATATATTGATCGCTTATATTTGATTGTATAAATGTTTACTCGGTTCGAGTTTACGTAAAATATTGATCGTTTATATCTGAGTCAATATGCGTTTACTTGGTTCGGAGATACGCAAATATTGATCGTTTATAGTTGATTCTATAAGCGTTTACCTGGATCGGGGATAGGTAAATATTGATCGCTTATATTTGATTCTATAAACCTTTACTTGGCACAAGGATACACAAATATTGATCGTTTATAGTTGATTTTATAAGCGTTTACCTGGATCGGGGATACGCAAATATTGATCGTTTATAGTTGATTCTATATGCGTTTACTTGGTTCGGAGATACGCAAATATTGATCGTTTATAGTTGATTCTATAAGCGTTTACCTGGATCGGGGATACGCAAATATTGATCGTTTATAGTTGATTCTATAAGCGTTTACCTGGATCGGGGATACGCAAATATTGATCGTTTATAGTTGATTCTATAAGCGTTTACCTGGATCGGGGATACGCAAATATTTATCGTTTATAGTTGATTCTATACGCGTTTACCTGGATCGGGGACAGGTAAATATTGATCGTTTATATTTGATTCTATAAACCTTTACTTGGCCCAAGGATACACGAATATTGATCGTTTATATTTGATTTTATAAACGTTTACTTGGTTCGGGAATAGATAAAATATTGATCGTTTATATTTGAGTCTATAAGCGTTTATTGGTTTGGGGATAGGTAAATAATCATCGATTATATTTATATTTTGAGTTCATAACTATTGTCTTTTTTCAGAAATAGTAAATACTGATCGTTTTACTTGATCCTATATATACTTTCTCCGGGAACTGGTATGAATATTAGTTGGCAATGCAAAATCTAGTAAAATTTCAACAAAATGTTACAAGTTTAAAAAAAGCGGATTAAAATGAAGATGAAAGAAATACAAGTGAAACATAGAAATGCTCAACATCGTCATATTGAAAAAGTTTCCCACATCACTAATTTTAACTTGAATATTGATCACATATTGAAATATGTTTTTCGGAGTTACTTTCATGTTTTCTATCTTAACATTTGCCGTTTTGTGTTTTTTTTTAATTGCAAATAAATATGTGCTTTCTGAAAAGAATTTACGTCATGAAAAGTGACCTGTGATCTCGAGATAATCACGTTGTACGACGAGAAATCCAAAAAAGTAAAAGTGTTTTTGTTTGTTCATTGTAAATTATTTTTCTTTTCTCCGCTGTGAAGAATTGTTTTCGTGCGAGGCGGAAAGAAATATGACAAGAGAAATCAAGATCAGATACTCGCCAGTATGGCTACAAACAATAACGAACGTAGCCTCACAAAAAATACGGAATTCACAGGAAGGTGGAACACATTCAGGCAGTGTTTCCAAAGCCTTTTTTTAGTTTTTTTTATTGTACCGCTCCTTTGGTTCCCAAGCCACATCCTTAGTCCGCCTCGCTCCAACACTCACACGAAGACACCCCCTTTCTTTGTATTCTTCTATAAACTGCTCGGACGAGCTGCTTTTGTTGGTTCCCAGACTTCATGAATATATCCAAAATATTCACACACACACACACATATATATATTGTTTAACAGGTGTAATATTGGAGGAATCAAGACTTTTATCATACAGTCTCAGTTACGGTGGACTGGTCATGTCTTGAGAATGTCTGATGACAGGATACCCAAGATCCTAATGTACAGCCAGTTAGATCAGGGCTACAGGAATGTAGGATGCCCATGGTTAAGATACAAAGACAAGCTGAAAAGCAACTTGTCAGCAGTTAATATACCACATGACACCCTTGAGCGCTTAGCTTTGGAGCGGGTAGAATGGAGATCAACGTGTTTTAGTGGACTCAGCAATTTTCAATCTGCTTGTCTGAATCATCTTCAAGAAGTGAGAGCAAGATCTAAAAGGTCAACTAATCTAACAGTGATCTCACCTCACAATCCTTGCATTTGCTCCATATGTGGCCTCCTTTGAAAATCACTAGCGGGTCAAAAATGCCACTTAAGATTATCGCACAAACTTTCATAACTGAATCAATAAGCTGTCAGATCCTCATACGTCGAAACCGATGGGAGAGTCCATTTATATATATATATATATATATATATATATATATATATATATATATATATGACGGAAAATATCAAATTACAAGAACCTCTCAACCCTTAAAAGATTACATTTAACATAAACAGACTCAGTCCGAAAGGGTGAAACGCGTCATTTAAAAGCTTTTATATTTTGTCATAAGGGCGTTATATTTTTGATTTTTCATATAAATTTTTTTTCGCCAAATCGATCGCTTCAAATCTACAAATCAACCATTGGTCCTTATATGGAATATTGCTGAAATATATGGTCTGGAGCCCTTCTGTTTGTCTCAAGGTCCTTAATAAAAAATCCAGAGACGGATACGCAATGTAATTGGCACTGATCTGGCATCTCGTCTGCAGCCGCTCTCTCACAGACGTGTCGTCGCCTCCCTCTGTTCTTTTTTAAATACTTTCATGGTAACTGCTTCGATGAGTTGCTTTCACTGGTTCCTAAATTTTATGAATTTAAATGTTCAATAGGTTGGCATCTCGCTCACAATATATATATTCACTGTCGAAAATTTTAAATATATCTGTCTCTTAAACTTCAATATATATATATCTCGCACCTCTCGACTGTGGAAAATCCCTTTTCCTGATTTCCCTGATAGCATAATCTCCAACTATTCAAATGTAATGTCAATCGACCTCTCCAGATGCCCTGATCTATCCCCTATCCTTCTCTTCATCCTTTCCTCTATCAAATGAATTTTTTCTTGCTCCAACTCTGACAACTCCTTGCGTGCTACTGGCTTCTCCTTTTAATCTTTTTGTGAAATATTTTAAAAAAATTGTCTCTTTCTTCATTACGTTAATATCATTTAAATATCTAACACTTTGTAGCCCAAATGTTATTTGTTTTTTGCCAATTTCCAAATTCCTAAAAGTGGTTTATTATTTTGTCCTTTTTTTAATTCTTTATACCCTTTTCTCAAAAACACCACAATAAATAATGGAAATTCCTATTGATTTAAAAATGTTAAGTTCAAGGGATTTCAAAAAAAAATTTTTTGATTCTGAGTATAAATGTCCCGATAAGTATACTGAACACATCTAACACTCTTTTCTTAGATATCGTTTAGTAAGATATGGCCAGACGAACATCCGTGTCTATATCGCTACACATACAACCATTTTACTGGTCCCTGCATGGGTTTAAATAGAAACAAATACAACCAGGAAATAAAATACTTCGTCTTTCAAGATCCACATATAGACTGATATATACTGTATATGTTGGGTTTATAAATTTTGAATTTTGTTTGAATTTGGCATGAATTTAAATATCGTCCCCACCTGGTCAGATATAAAAAAACAATTCTAATAAAACCGTCAATCGCCATAAATTTTAATTACAATTTTTGATATTGCTTTAATTTGCACTACATAACGTAGGTAAATATGATATATATTTATTATATATATTTCATAGCTCTATTTAACGATATTCTTCATTTTTGTTTTTCACTATACATTAAATTAAATATTTATTTTATTTAAAATACTAATATCTCGTTATTTGGTTTATATTTAGACTTCTGTCTACCTATCTATATAAATTTAGCATACCTTACAACGATATTTGAAAAAGGTTGCAATTCCTCTCATTTTTCGAGAAAAAATATAAAAGTGAACACTGAGGACATGTTTGAACGAAAGTTTTCATGGCCTGGAGATTAAGTTCAAGCATGAAACACACTGTCGCCATCCGGTCATGACCTGATTTCCAGTTATATATCCTATATATAGTTAAATATATATATATATATATGTAATTGATAAAATCCCACTTCCTCCATATATAAGTGATATCTCTATAGTTGATCTCTTTCTTTTCTCTCTCTTATATATATATATGTCTTAAAAGATGTGCTATTCTTTTAT